CCAATCCAGCATTTTCAGCGCTTCTCACAAGGAGATGGTCTCAGCTCGACACCGAATTTCGTTTTGAAAATTTGCACACTGATAGAGCTCGACGAGACGAATCGATTGGTGTAACTTTCAGCTGCCCATACTATAAAATAGCCGAGTTATAAACATTTTCAGGCCTTCAGAACGCCAATGGCAGCATTTGTGCCAAAAAGCAAAAAATGAAAATCGTGAGCGGGTTCGAACCCTCAATCGATTCCCCCATACGCCGCCGACTACGCCACTAGGCCACCAGGCCACGGTGATGGGGGAAGGGCGAGGGCTTATGAAGGTAGGGCAGGCTACATGCAAAATGTATGCAAAAACTTAAAATGTTTATAACTCGGCTATTTTATAGTATGGGCAGCTGAAAGTTACACCAATTGATTCGTCTCGTCGAGCTCTATCAGTGTGCAAATTTTCAAAACGAAATTCGGTGTCGAGCTGAGACCATCTCCTTGTCAGTGTATTCAAACAGTTTTTAGTAGTTTTCGATTGCTAAAAACGGACAAAAACTTAGAAAACTTCAAAAATTGTAAATTCTTCAGGTCAAAACGAAATTACCCGAAATTTATAACTTTTTACGCATTTCTATACTTAAAAACCGGGTAAAAAGACTATATAAAGTGTGTTTCTTTCATGACCCCGCTAACAGCCCAGTACCCAGCCCAAATTTCCAGGCTATTCCTCAGAGCGCCAGCTCCGCCTCACCGCGTCTTGTTGCAGCGGCGCCACGGCGGATTCCCATCCATGAAGACGTCGGCCGAGATGTACAGCCAGCTCTCGAGGTCGTCGCGACGGCAAAAGTCTTGGCGCTTGTGGGCGGTGCGGGGGCAGAACGTGTTGTTCTGGCCGTTGTAGTAGATCGGGCCCGGGCGCTCCTTGCTGAAAATGTCGTCTTTTTGAGGGGCACTGCGAAACGGGACCCACGCAAAACGGCCCTCCTCGCGTGCCTTGCGCAACCGTCCAAACAAGTACATGTAGACGTTGTTCTCGTTCTCGCCCTCGCCAAAGCAGAAGCTACGGATCGAGAGATCCCTGCAAGATATGGTTTGAGGTGAAAAAACAATATACGCACAAGCTTTTTTAGAATCCAATTTTCAAACATAAAGGTTAGAGTGCAGTTTACCCCCCCCCAGCCCTAACTTTGCAGCCATACGTCCTATTAATGCGCCGAGTATCTCAAAATGTTCGCCGTGGTCGAATTACTATAAATAAGTTGTTTTCTTGCGGCAAAAATTGCTAAAAAATTTTTTACAAGATTTTGAAAGTTGAAAAGATTAAGCCGCTATGCTTCGATGTATTAGGAGTCTAAAACTCAAATATTTTTATTTTCCGCTATTTTTTTCGGCTCATACGTACTGTAGACTTATTCTCCAGAGAAAGAGCTACATTTTGGTACTATTGACAGCTCTGTACGTCAAAAGATAGCCGAGATACGAAAACTCACTTTGGGACAGCAAAAATTAGCTAAAGAAAACCCAGACTTATAATTGTTATAAAAATTTTTCTAACAATTTTTGTTGTAAGAAAACAACTTTTTTATAGTAATTCGTCCACGGCGAACATTTTGAGATACTCGGCGCATTAATAGGACGTATGGCTGAAAAGTTAGGGCTGGGGGGGTAAACTGCACTTAAGCCAACATAAATGGCGGCAGGGTTTCTTTTCTAAAATGCTTTTTTTTGCTAATCCTAAAGGTAAAACCTTCCAAATTTTGAGTAAAAAGACCAAAATGTCAGTTTTTACGAAAATTTCGGCTTTTTGAAAGTTTTTAGGTAGTTTTTTTAGGTGAAATGTAGTTTTACCGGGCTAAAAACGTATCAAAATACTTCCGATTAAGTTACTAGGGGTACTAGGGGGTCAGAAAAAAACTTTGTTTCACCCCTTTTAGCGCCCTCACTTACCCATGCACATAACCGAGCTGGTGGAGATACTCGATGGCAAAGTACATGTGCGTGATGACGTGCAGCGCGTCGTGGGCCCTAAAAACGACCGAAGAAATGTAGGAGGGCCAGCGACCTACGTAAAGTTCTTCTTGACGTAGTAGCGGCGGACCTCGTGCACCGTCCGCCCCAGCGTCTTCGTCACCAAGAACTTGAAGTCGTCGTCCTGGCCGGCGTTGACCACGCTGAAAAGGGTGATTCTAGGTTTTGGCGAGCAAGAAGGAGGGAGCAAAACCTAAGCCAGAGAAAGGCGAGAAAAGGGGGCTATAACTGACGTTGGGAAACGCCAGAGCTGCTTGCCGTTGTCGCGCAGCAAAAACTCTTGGAAGAGGGCGGCGAGAGCCTGGAATTCAACAGGGTAAGAGTTTACTTACCCCCCCACAGCCGAAGGGTCTCAAAGTTGTCGGTATTTTCGCTTATTTTGTCGGGATTTTCGCAACGCCATTCGATAGAGCGTCGAAAAAGATACTGAGAGTTTTAATTTGAGCCTACAATAATGGGCTTGATTTACCTTTATGGTCCTCGCCCGAAAAGTGTTTTTTCGGGTCGGAATCGATCTAGAAATGATCAAAATGTAGTTTTCAGTGAAAAAAATGCGCCGGAAAGAAGTTTTTGAGGGCTAAAAAGACCTTTTTTGCTAAAAGTCGGGGACCATAAAAGGGGGTACGGGGGTATGTCGTTTATGGTCCTCGGCTAAAATCCAGTTTTTCTCGTCGGAATCTATCTAGAAATGATCAAAATGTAGTTTTCAGTGAAAAAAATGCGCCGGAAAGAAGTTTTTGAGGGCTAAAAAGACCTTTTTTGCTAAAATTCGGGGACCATAAAAGGGGGTACGGGGGTATGTCGTTTATGGTCCTCGGCTAAAATCCAGTTTTTCTCGTCGGAAACAATCCAGAAATGTTCAAAATATCGTTTGCAGTTCAAAAAAAGCGCCGGAAAGACCTTTTTAGCTGCAAAAATTATTTTAGTACAAAAATTCATTCAGCCCAGTTTTAGCCTAAAAATAAGGCTTCGTGCCACCGGGGGCCTAGTCGCTTCGGATGGGCGCGAGCTCGTACAGTGTTTCGAAATCGGGGCGCCCGAGCAGCGCGCAGCGCCCAGGCGCCCTGATTTCGAAAGAGTGGAGCGGCAGCCCATCCGAAGCGACGGCCCGCCTTGCCTGACAATGCTACGTGCCGCACCTTGTTCAGAAGCCTTAGGCGACCACGAACATCTTTCCGGCACTTTTTTTCGAAGTATTATGAATTTCCAACAATTATCTATTGATTTGGTAAAAGACAAAACACTTTTCAGGTGGGGACCATAAACGACATACCCCCGTACCCCCTTTTATGGTCCTCGAATTTTCAGCAAAATAAGTCGTTTTAGTGATTAAATCCTTCTTTCCGGCGCATTTTTTTCACTGAATATGACATTTTGAACATTTCTGGATTGTTTCCGACAAGAAAAACTGGATTTTAGCCGAGGACCATAAACGACATACCCCCGTACCCCCTTTTATGGTCCCCGAATTTTAGCAAAAAAGGTCTTTTTAGTCCTCAAAAACTTCTTTCCGGCGCATTTTTTTCACTGAAAACTACATTTTGATCATTTCTAGATCGATTCCGACCCGAAAAAACACTTTTCGGGCGAGGACCATAAAGGTAAATTTTCCCCAATAATGTAAAATAATAAAGTTATAGCCAAAAACTTCCGGCTGGGGGGGGGTAAAGTAAACCGTAGCCTTCAACAGGTCGATTCGGTCAGCCTCAACACGGACTCACCTCATACTGCTGATGTGTCTCGGGCGGGCTGACGAGCTCGGTCCTCAGCTGATGGTACTGGCGGCTTTTCGTGTTGCGCACGCGGTAGATGTCGCCGAATTCGCCGTAGTGCAGGATGTCCTGGATCTCGTAGCTGAAAAAGATAAGTTTGTAGATTTATAGCATTTTACGCAGTTTTATATGTAAAAAAGTTCATAAATCTCGTATAAATTTCAAAAAATTCTGATTTTTAGGTAAAAAAATGTCTGAAAAAGGCCAAGAGGTCGAAATTGAAAGGCCTATCGCTGCAAGCGGACCCCCGTGCTCATTCTCACCGTTCGTCCTCCTTGCCCGTGTTCACCATGCCGTAGAGGGGCAACACCTTGTGCTGATATCGCGGGACGGCGAGCAGCTCATTCTGGTCCAAGTAGATATGGTCATACAGCTGGAACGCCATTCGCACCGGTTTCTGAAAGACGAGAATTAGGATTGATTGCCCGTAATACTTTAATTCCTTATTTTGTAGCCAAGAAAATCAATATTTTTGACAGAAAACCAACCGAGTAACTGGCAACGAGAATATAAATATAGTGACTTGCGCCGAAGGAGCTTTTTATAGCGGCAGGAAGATCTTGATTTACATAGATTCCATTTTTCAGGGAAAATTCTAATTTTCGATGCAAATAAGGCTTAACATAGCACTTTTTACTTTCGATCTCCTTAAAAATCTCCGCTAGTTTGCCCTGCTGACCGTTCGATGCGAGAAATTGTCATTTCCCAAAGCTCTCTGCTAGTAGCCTCAAATTTCAAAACCTTGCAGCAACGCGTAGTTTTTCGCAAAGAATCCGGGCTAAATTTCACTTTACGGTATGTTTCCAGAATGTCATTTTTTCGTCTGGAATCGATGTATCCCGACGAGTTCGTGCGTTTTCAGTTGAAAAAACGATTGGGAAACGCTTCTGGACAAAGTTATTAGCTTTTGAAAATTGACTAAAATATTGGCCTTTTTGAAGGGGCTTGCTAGTTGAATACCCAATTTAAGCCTAAAAATAAGGCTTCGTGCCACCCGGGGCCTAGTCGCTTCGGATGGGTGCGAGCTCGTACAGGGTTTCGAAATCGGGGCGCCCGAGGAGCGCGCAGCGCCCAGGCGCCCCGATTTCGGAAGAGTGGAGCGGCAGCCCATCCGAAGCGACGGCCCGCCTTGCCTGACAATGTTGGAGGCCACAACTAACTGTTATTTATCTATTCTATGCTTAAAAGACTAGTTTAAAAATTATAAATGCTTTTAGATAAGTACGTAAGCGCTGGCTGAGGGCGCACGCGTTAAATGCGGGGATAGGAGTGTTGCGTAGCCTACAGTCCTTAGCAAAAATATCTTTGAAACGTCATAACTTTCTTATTTTAAATTTCCCAATTGTTTTTTCAACGGAAAACGCTTTATCTCATCGAGCTTTATCGTTTCCTGTTCAAAAATTGAGGTTTTGTTCACATACCGTAAAGTGAACTCGCGATTTTCAAAAGCTTATAACTTTGTCCAGAAGCGTTTCCCAATCGTTTTTTCAACTGGAAACGCACAAACTCATCAAGCTGGATCGATTCCAGTCGAAAACTCGACATTTTGGGACCATACCGTAAAGTGAAATTTTCCCAGAATCCGTGCTAGCCTGCCTCTGATCCATGGTTCAACAGATGCTGAATGTTTCTCTGCTAGCTTGCCATGTCTACAGGTCGATGCAATCAACATCTACACATTTCCCGAGCGCTCTCTGCCAGCTTGCCTGCCCAAAAGCTTTAAAAATTATGGAAAGCCGTATATTTTCGCAAAGAATCGCTGCTAGGCTGCCTGATTTAGCAGGATCAGAAGCTTCCTAAAAACTCTCTGCATGAACGTGCTACATTCCGCCTCCCCCGTTAAGAAACCTTTACCGAATTTTTCTGCTAGACGTTTCTTAAAACGCTGTTTTCAGCATTACAAGTTTATAACCTCTCTCTACACCATTTCGGCATTAAAAATCACCAATCCAGCGTGTGCCAATTGAGTGATAAGGGGCGGTGTTGACGGGTCAGGCTTCTTGCCTATGCCCTCAAATTGATATGGGGTTGCGGCCCATATTTTCGCCCCTTCGGCTTCCGGTTCCTGCTAAACTGTTTTTTTTGCTATTCCCAAGCGTAAAAACTTTATAGACTTTGATTAGAAATTAAAAAACGGATATCGATGTTTCGGTCCTAAAAGGGCCAAGTTTCGCTCGAAATTTCACCTAAAAATATGTTTTCTTTTTTGATCGTTTATCCTCGTTTAATAGTTAAATTTTACCATTAAAATACTTACTATTACGTTAATAAGCATTTCTGCAATTTTTTCTTCTCGATATCTGGATCATTTTTTTTATTTCCACTGAACTACTTGTATATTTTCTATAATCCTATGGTTTTAATTTTCTACTGTTTATATCCGTTTTGATACTTTTTAACTACTTTTAGCTTATCACATTTTGTTGGTCGAGAACTTTTGTGGGGTTTCTCACGGTTTTGGTGATGAAAAGCCGGTGGAAGTGGACGATGGAGAGTTGGTCGTAAAAAAGCGGGAGAAAGAAAGAGAGAGAGAGAGAGAGAGAGAGAGAGAGAGAGACAGAGAGAGAGAGAGATACGAATATTCCGTTGTCCAAAGAGTCCCCCCGCACGGTCCATTTGATGGCCAATATTTATTATTATTGCCACGGTCCGTTGGCCAACCCTGGAGCCGATAGTCGAAGCTTTTATATATCTTTAAAGTCATCTTTTTAGTACTGTTGCAAAGGTAAACCATAATAATATTCGAGTTTGTCTAATGGCTAGCGCGTTTGCCGGTAAAGTTTTGGTCGAGGGTTCGATCCCCCGAGTAGTCAAAGTTTTGCTTTTTGCTCGATTTTTCGGCTCGTGGCTTCCCGGTCCCTTTAAAACATTTTCATGCAGTTTTAACATTATTTTTAATTGCTTTCATTATTTTTATACTTAATTATTTTGCGTATTTAATGTATTTTTATTACTTTTTAGATGTTATGGGCAAGAATCGGCTGGCCCGATGGGTTCTGTGCGTCGGATTGTTGATTCTACTGTATTTGCTGCTACGATCTGGGGGGAATGCGGAAACGGTACGGAATTTCTTGCAGTGGATTCCCAACGGATCTCTGCTAGATGTCTCTTTCGAAATCCCCTAAATATCGATTCCCAAATCATCTCTGCTAGCATGCCAACGTATATATTCTGTTTTTCCAATTTTCGCAAAGAATCTCTGCTAGCTGCTTCTTTCGCGGGACTACAGGGTGTCCCAAAACCCCCCCCCCCCCCCCTCTAGAGGCCGTCAATCGGATCGGATCGGAATGATTTTTATACCAATCGAAAGCTCTCGGAAAGGCGAGAAAACAAGCGGGTTTCGTTTTCTAAGATTTAATCTGACCAGGGTTGAAAAGCCGCTTCGCGACTTTTCAACCCTGGCCCCGTATGATCACATGAAATTCTCCCCTTTACATAATTGTTCTAAATTCGGATGACAAAAAATGAAAAACAACCACTTCTGTGCCTTTATCTAGTTGAATCCCAACTTCCGGTCTATGCTAATTATCCCTAACAAAGAAGTTTTAACAAAAACTAAAATTTAATGTCGAAAATAGGTGATTTTGATAAATCTGATATGCGTGCAGTCATCTCAAGACCATTGCGCACCTAATGACGTATCATAGGTACCCTAAAATTTTACCCCCAGCGATATATCCTCCGGACAGACAGACGGAAGTGGATGCAAAGTGCCACACACACACACACAGACACTATTTTTTTATATATAGTAGGATTCTATCGATATTTCAGGTTTTCCCAAAAAAGCCGGGAATTTTTCATCAGGAATTTCGCAATTAGCATGCAGATCTCGCATAAATCAGCAGTTTTCATGGTTTTTGGACATAAAATTAGCAAATAAAAGGCTTAATTAAGAAATTCAACCCTCCTTGTTTTCTCGCCTTTTCGAGAGCTTTCGATAGATACCTAAATCGTAAAAATCGGAATCGACTGCGGACCGCTAGGTAGGGGGGGTTTTTTTGGGACACCCTGTATACCTTTAATAGCGATTCCTCAACGATCACTGCTAGCTTGCCCCTACGCTCTCTTCATCCAGATGCTCCCAAATCCTAAATGGTCTCCGCTAGCATGCCACATGCCTCTTTCCAGTTTTCCCAACTCAAAGAATCTCTGCTAGCTGTTTATTTCGGTCCCAATTCCAAATGACCTTTGCTAGCCTTCCTTAGCGTTGAAAAAATTGAAAGCGAGAGACCCGCCCCATTTCCCAAATAATCACTGCTAGCCTGCCCAGCCCTAGACTAACCGATCCCTTTAAAGGAACCATGCCACCAAGCCCTGCTCTCCTTGAACATGACGGCCGTCGGGCTCGTCATCGTCGGTATGCCCTGATCAAAAACCGTATTAACCAACCTAAAAATTCAGACCCAGTTTTCCTCTCCGAATTCCACCGTAACTGCCATGCCATTCCGCGATACCCCCTGATGACGATGATTGCAAAAGATTCGGGGCATACCGTAACTCGAGGTTCGTTTTATTTGTTTTCTCTGAGCTTTAATAAATGCAAAACTTATAGAAATGCATGAAATTAAAATGCTTAAACCTGAAGTCGCATGTTTCACAATTTGTGAAAAATTGAAATTTTTTGGTTGCTAGAATTTTTTAAAATAATCTTGTTTCAAAAATTGTCAAAAACCAAATTTTCGAAGCTCGCTTAATGGAACGAGATTCTGAAAAGCGCTACTTGTTGAAACAGTCAAATTTCCAAGGAAATTGGTGTTATTGGTTTCCGAACTTTTGAAAAATGTTGCTTCCGAAATTATTCTGTTTTTAGAGCTACTCAAGCTTTTTCGTGTGCTGCCATACACCGAAAATGACGCCGAAGATTTCATCCAGGTCCAGGACAATCGCACGTTTAGATTGCTCCCGAAAAGGTGAGAATTTGTGTTTTTATTTAGATTTTTTTGACCTTTTAATAAAATCTAACTTTGATCCGCCCTTAACTTAAATTTTATTTGCAAGTGTAAACGACATAATCATCAAATATGAAAAAATCCAGGTTGTTTATAAATTCTGACTTTCAAGCAATTTTGTGCCATTTGGAATCTATCATTAATGCGCAATAAAATTTAGCAACTAGCAGAGATTCTTTAAAAAAATCTGAAACTTCACAATCCCTTTAAATTCCAGCATTATCTACCATCAAATCGGAAGCGTGAAATTGCCGGCGAATATTCCGCAATTCCTCGAATTCTGGCATCGAAGCCGTGAAATTGAATGTAAAAACGGTAGGTTACGGTAGTAAAAATTCCTCAATTTTCTCTGCTAGTCTACCCTGATTTCTTAGTGCTACAACGAGATGAATCGGAGACAAATCGAACATATCCCCTCGAAGCGATTGAAGCACTGGCCGACATTCGGGATATTATCATCAATTATGGGGCATATCCATTTCTGCAGGGTGGCACGTTATTGGGTATGGTACCTTACTTTACTTACTACATTACTTTAAATATATTGATAAACATAGATATATTGAATTTTAAATACCGATTTTTTTTTTGAACGTTTGACATACTCAATTAAAAGCAACAGAATAAAATCTCACTAAAAATTTTTTCAGAAATTTTTTCATTTCTTTTTCTGAAACATAGATTTCCAAGAAATCCTGAACCTTTTTAAAAACGTCCTGATTTTTGACAAATTTTGACATTTTTGACAAATTTTGACATTTTTGACAAAAATTTTCAACGAAAATTTGCAATTTGGTTACTTAAAGTTTGTACCGTTTCAAATCGTCAAACCCATAGACCCCCGATAATGCGAAAGAACCCCCTAGCCACGCCTTTCCTGTCCCTTTAAAATCCTTTCAATTTATTTTTGCAGGCTGGTACCGTGAGTGTTC